TCTGTGTCCCATGACAACACTGCATTAGACCACCCAATAGATTTTTCAACGGATCCAAGCACTACATTGAATAAATTTTCGATAGTATTTTCGCGAATAACGCACATGCGCATTATTAAGTTACCATCCTAAAAAATTTCGCTAAAAAAATTTCACTGTTAGATTAGGATTAGGTTTGCTATTAAGCTAGGCTAGAAAGAGCTTTAATAGTACCAAAAATTCGCAAGGAAAACTTTTTGTTAGCACGCAAAAGGTGATTTAATGAGCGGGTTTTTGGTTTGTTTTGATTTTTCGCGTTTCTCTACGTCATACCTGATCTTGAAATCTGATTGGCCAGTGACAGTTCGCATAATTTCGAATAACGGCCCGAAGCGCGTTATTTCGCGAAAATACGGTATGCGATAATCGCGATGAATTATAAAATTTGATTAACGATAAAATAATTTTAGCTTTACGAATATAGCTATTACCTCTTCTCATTTTGAGTACAAGAAAAGTTTGACCGGTTACCATTTATAATTTTACTAAATTATAAACATAAGAATTTTTTTTATTGAAAGGTTATTTCGAATGTTGATATATATATTTATAATTTCAATGTTTTTCGTATTTAATAAATTACATCATTAATGTTATTAAGATGTAAAACATTATTTTACATGGTTTTTTCGTTAAAATCTGAATCTAAAGAGTCTTTCAAATTTGTAGGTTTTAAATCAATTAAACGTTTTATAAGTTGGTATGAGATCATGCAATTGTTTAAGGATCCAGATTCATGTTTAATTAAATCAGCTTCTTTAAAAGTTTTTATATAACAACTTTTTTTTGTCCAACTGTCTAAATATTCTTGAAGTTCACTTGCTGAAGGGCGTTCAGATGCATTTGCACTCATGCATTCATTAGCTAATCCAACATAAATCTGCGGTATTTCCTTTGCAAATGTTGGACGGAGACCATTACAAATTTCTTTGACAAGATCGTCATCATTTTCTTTTCGATCATAATATAAAGGTTTTCCCGATGAGATTTCCCACATTATTATACCAAATGAATAGATATCAGACGCCATAGTAAATGGTTCTCCGATTAAAACTTCTGGTGCGATATACGGCAAAACTCCGTAGACTACACTAGTTTCTGGCGTATTGACTGATTTTAAAAGACCTAAATCTGCAATATATGCATCTTTCAGACTATTTTGTAATATATTACCACTATGTAAATCCCGATGAATAAAATTTTGAGAATGAATTGTCTGAAGATCAAGTGCAATATGGAGCAATATTGTCAATTTGTCTTTCCACTCCATTTTCGCTATAGAGTGTAAATTACTGCGCAAAGAACCCTTTGATGCATATTCTATGACAAGAATATAATCTTTCGAAATTTCATCTCTTGATATACCATAACATTTTAAAAATGTAGGATCTTCATCACTCATCTCATAATGTGCTTTTAACTTCGTTATTAAATAAAGACAATAGAATAATTAATAACTACACATATCTGATAGTATGATAGAATAATAAAGCGTAAAAATTACCTCATTTATGACTACATCATGATTTTCATTCGATCCATGAATTAATTTAAGCGCAACATCTCTTGATAAATTATTTTGGTCTTCCCATCTAGCATAAAATACTGTCGCAAATGCACCTTGTCCGATTTTTTTAATATTTTTAAATTCGTTATAAGGAACATATAAAAGATCTTCATTGATCATTATTTTTAAATCATCATTTATGTCAAAATTTCGTATAAATTCACTTGTGCCTAGAAAATTTCAACGATCAGACTTCGGAAGCTATTTATGAATAAATAATTGTGATAATCAAGTTACCTGATAATAAAAACTTTTCTCCCCTAATTCGATATTTATAAATGAATTTATTAACAATAAAAATTATGAATAGGATAGATAATGAATTATATAAAACTTACATTTGAGACCAATAATCGGCCATTGGTTCATCTTTTGCTGTGCCAATTCCTTTTCGGTAACAATTGCTAAGGGTATACATGGCATCAATATTTCCTTTCTCTGCCGCTTTTTTATAATGAATGAACGCCTTACTAATATTTTTATTAACCCCACTTCCATCTTGATAGCAAATTCCAACACGAAATATTCCGCCATCATGTTCCATTTTGGCAGACATTTCATAATAAATAAACGCATTATGTTCATTCTTTTTAACCCCGATTCCTTCTTCATAACAACGGCCAACGTTATATGTTCCATCAGGGTGATCCATTTCTGCGGATTTTTTGTAACAAATAAACGCATTATATTCATCATTCTTAACTCCAATTCCTTCTTCATAACAGCAACCAAGACTATACATTCCATCAGGGTGTCCCATCTCTGCGGATTTTTTATAATAACTAAACGCATTATTTTCATCCTTTTTAATCCCAATTCCTTCTTCATAACAGCGACCAAGATTAAATATTCCATCAGGGTGATCCATCTCTGCGGATTTTTTGTAATAAACATATGCATTATATTTATCTTCCTTAATATTAATTCCGTTTTCATAAAAAACACCCGTATAGAATATTCCATCAGGGGTTTCCATTTTAGCAGATGCCTCCATGTGTCCCATCTTAGCTGATAGACTGTAATTAATATATGCGTTATATTTATCTTTCTTAATCCCAAATCCTCCTTCGAAACAACGACCAAGGCTATATATTCCATCAGAATAACCCATCAGTGCGGATTTTTGGTAATAAATATACGCATTATATTCATCCTTTTCAACCCCGATTCCTTCTTCGTAGCAACGACCAAGGTTATATATTCCATCAGGGTGACCCATCTCTGCGGATTTTTCGTAATTAATATACGCATTATATTTATCTTCCTCAACGGTAATTCCTTTTTCATAAAAAACACCTGTATAAAATATTCCATCAGGAGTTTTCATCTTGGCCAATGCCTCCAGGTGTCCCATATTAGCGGATTTACTGTAATTAACAAACGCATTATATTTATCTTTCTTAACGTTAATTCCCTTTTCATAAAAAACACCTGTATAAAATAATCCATCAGGGGTTTCCATTTTAGCAAGTGCCTCCGTGTGTCCCATCTTAGCGGATTTACTGTAATTAACATACGCATTATATTTATCTTCTTCGACATTAACTCCATTTTCGCAAAAAACACCCGTGTAGAATATTCCATCAGGGGTTCCCATTTTATCAAATGCCTCCATGTTTCCCATCTCAGCGGATTTACTGTAATTAATATATGCGTTATATTTATCTTCCTTAACCCCAATTCCTCCTTCGTAACAACGACCAAGGTGATATATTCCATCAGAGTGTCCCATCTCTGCAGATTTTTTGTAATAAATATATGCGTTATGTCCATTCTTTTTAACTCCGATTCCTTCTTCATAACAACGACCAAGGTTATATATTCCATCAAAGTGACCCATATCTGCGGACATTTTGTAATTAACATACGCATTATATTCATCCTTTTCAACCCCGATTCCTTCTCCATAACAACGACCAAGGTTATATATTCCATCAAAGTGACCCATTTCTGCGGATATTTTGTAATAAAGATACGCATTATGTTCATCCTTTTCAACTCCGATTCCTTCTTCATAACAACGACCAAGATTATACATTCCATCAGAGTGACCCATTTCTGCGGATTTTTTGTAATTAATATACGCATTATATTTATCTTCTTTAACGTTAATTCCTTTTTCATAAAAAATACCCGTATAGAATACTCCATCAGGAGTTTCCATTTTAGCAGATGCCTCCATGTGTCCCATATTAGCGGATTTACTGTAATTAACATACGCCTTATATTTATCTTCCTTGACGTTAATTCCTTTTTCATAAAAAACACCCGTATAAAACGTTCCATTAAGAGTTGTCATTTTAGCAAATGCCTCCATGTGACCCATCTCTGCGGATTTTTTGTAATAAATATATGCATTATGTTCATCCTTTTCAACTCCAATTCCTTCTTCGTAACAACGACCAAGGCTATATATTCCATCAGGGTGTCCCATTACTGCAGATTTTTTGTAATAAAGATACGCATTATGTTCATCCTTTTCAACTCCAAATCCTCTTTCATAACAACGGCCAAGGTTATATATTCCATCAGAATGGCCCATTTCTGCGGATTTTTTGTAATCAACATATTTAGTGTCATGATCCTTAACGTCATGATCTTTAATGTCATGATCTTTAATGTCATGATCAATAATCTGATATTTGATTTCTCTTTGGTTAAGTATAATAGGAATATGTTGATTAGTATTAAAACAAAGGTTTATGGAATTTACAAACGAGAGCTCAATAATCATATAAGGCCTAAGACAAAGGTAGTTATTTATTGGGTCTAATAAAAATAATTACGGATAAGGAACTAAAGTTCAAAATATTGTAATCAGAGTCTTCAAAAAAATCGAATAGAAAACGATTGTATAATTAGAATATGGGTTGAAAGTACAAGGCAAAAAATGTGTGTATAGAGTATTTATCCTTTCAACTCAATTGGCCTAAACTCACAAATTTATTGTCTTCTTAAATTTAACTATCTTTTCTAAAAATTAGATGATTCATTTATGTTGACCACAATACTGTATATGCATGACATGTAATAATGTGAAACGTGTTCGTTCAACTCTAACCAGCTATTCTGCTGAATCGTTTCTATTTATAAAGTCCTTGATTATAAGGATCGAATTTAGTATAGGTGGCGAAACACATATTTCAGCCACAGATTACACAATACATAATCACGCGAATAAATCAGGGTTTAAATTAAACTTCAGCTTAGGATAGCTAAAGTTTAATTTAAATTCAGATTTATTCGCATGATTATGTATTGTGTAATCTGTGGCTGAAATATGTGTTTCGGAAAATTTTGCCCGGAGGGGTCACCTATACTAAACTTGATCCTGGGCCCTTATTTGTAAATTCTCCAATAATTAATTAATAACACCCAGTCAATATATAATAATTTAATCAAACCTGACTAATGTAAAAAATGCTTCCTCAACATTTATGTTTTCTTTAACACTGGTTTCGAAAAATTTGATTCCAAATTCATCCGCAAGTTTTTGACCTTGTTCCTTAGTGATCACCTGTGAGACAGATAATAATGAAAATTGTTTTTAATGTTTTAAAAATTGTTTACTTTTCATGACATTTACCCTTTTTTCGAATAAATGACAATTGTTTCCAATGAGAATTTTATTAACTCCTTCAGAGGCATGTTGTTCTGCATTACTAAACCAATTTCTTATATCTAATAGACCATGAAAATTATCGTTAATCATAATATTATTATTATTATTTCACAAAAATATATAAAGTTTCATTTAATGATGTAAAAATCTTAAAAGTATTAAGGATACCATTAAAAGATCGTTCATTGGTAATATCATATACAAAAGCTATACCCATAGCACCACGATAGTAGGCTTCATGATGGAGTTACAAATATGTAAATAATACTGAATACAAAATATAAATACACAGAGTAATATTAAAGCTTACCTGTGGTAATGGTACGAAAACGCTCTTGGCCTGCAGTATCCCAAATTTGGAGCTTGATTCGTTTACCATCCACATCAATGGTTCTAACTTTAAAGTCAATTCCTATAGTAGTGATAAAAGGAGGAGTAAAAGAGTCATCCGAAAAACGGTGCAACAAGTCTGACTTTCCAACATCTGTAAAAAAAAAAAAAAAACGAAAAAAAAAAAAATTGTTACAGTAATTTAGATTATACTGCTTCGGTTATATGCAATTGCATAAATATCTTTTATGCCAACCATTATCTCCAATCAGTAAAAGCTTTAGTAAATAATCGTACGCAGCACTTTTACTTTGGGCCATCATTTTGTGTGCATTAGAATGCGAATGAAAAACAATTTGGAATAACGGTAGAGCATTTATTCTCGCGAGTAATACAAATTCCTAAAAGGAAATAGATAATCAGAGTGCACAGCTGAGGGTATATTAGAAAATTATATTTTTGGATTCAAATTAAACTCGAATCTGTTAAGCGTGATCTAAAATACAAACGAAACGGAGGGCAAAAGTATTTTTCAATCACTTGTAAAATTTCATAATAATAAATAATATGATCAATCCGTTGTTTCTAGCCATCGAACGTGTAGTCAGAAAATTTGTCGATTATCAATCGGCACGTGTTATCATATGGGCTGCAAATGTGACTTTGTATTGATATAAATTAGGAAATAATAATCTAATTTTGGAATTTATTAAATAATAAAAGACTTGTACTAAAACGCAAAAGCGCCAAATTTAAGGGTTATGTAATCAATTATTAGTTAATTTGTGCGTACAGTCGTACCAGAGCATTTTTGGAGGGGTCTAGTAGGAAATCCCCGACATCCAAAATCTCGAAAGGCAATAATACTGACATCACGCGATATGGCAATTAAAATTTAAAGTCTGACAATGATTGTTAATGTGATCACTAATCTTTAAATATTACTTGTCACGTCGCGTGATGTCAGTATTATAGCCTGTCGAGATTTTGGATGTCGGGATTTCCTACCAGACCCTTTTTGGAGATATAACAAGGGTCGCATCGAATAGATGTAGTTGCCGTAAGTAACGTCATGGGAGAATTTTTTTTGTTAATAAACTGAAACTGAAACTGAAATAATCATATAATTTTAGTATTTTTCTATATTGGATATATTTTTTCAATGAAATATTTGTAAAACGATACGTCATTTCTAAAAATTCAAACGCACATGTGATGTCATGTAATGTAGCACAATTTTTTATTTTGGAATATACAAATATGTAGCACAAACAAAGTACTCGTTTTTCCATATCGATATGGTTAAATTCTCTTTCTTTATGGTTTTTATAACTTCCGTTCAGAGAAAGAAGTGAAACGAAGCGGCTGATCAAGATCAAGAAAGCACTGCACGATACAACACGCGAGAGACACAAGAATTCGTGAAACCATAATTTCCTTTTATAGTGGTCGGCTAAAGCGGAGCTTAGAGTTACCGTTACCTTTTGATGCAGTTATGGTTCGTAGGTTATACAGATATCAAGAATGTCATTTATGTAGTATGTAAATCATATATTGAATTAACTCCGCTTTAGCCGACCCCTTTTATAACCATTTTTTCGCTTAATTTGGACGTCAATCATTTCCTAAAGTTCACAACTATGCAAATAGGATAACTTTTAGCTTGGGAAGAAGGGCTAACTCAATATATATAAAAACATAAAATTTATAATTCAGGTTGGGATATAACTCAGTGAAGATATAACTCAGGTATGACTGCAACCAATTTTGTTGTCATAGAGCTTGGAACTGGATGCAAATTATCACCCGGGCTTTCTCGAATGATTTTAAAATTAAGGTAACCGGTTAAAAATAATTGGTTATTACCTTTTTATCATTCTTTTTTTACTTATTAGTGTTCATTTTTTTTATTTTTTATTTTTTTTTATTTTAATTTATTTTTTTTTTGCAATCATACGTGGTGACCTTATTAGTTACTTCCATAAATCATTACATGTATATTACATATGTAACTACATGATACTCTACTAGTAGTCCCGGCCTTACCCGGCTGCTTCTACGAGTGCCCAGATACAGATTGCTGAACTAGCCATGTACCAGATCGGAACTCAGTCTAGAGGCTTGGTTTGAACCCTACAGGTATTTTTCATTTTTAAAAATCACAATTTTATTTAATTTAATCAAGACAAATAAGATAATTGTATTAAAGAATTTCAACTTAAAACTACACTATGAAGATAGAATAAGGTTAAACATGTTATCGATATAGATCTGAACCCCATGTTTCGGTGCACTAAAGAGTAAATGTCTTTTTAGAAACGGAATTCCTTTTAATAAATTAGATAACAATCATAGATATACACTCATGATACCATATATAGAGTTTAATGTTGTTCAAAAATGAGCACATATTTTATCTAAAATCAGTTCAAACCACTATTGCCGGCATGCCGCCAACCGGATAAATCGATTCACCCGCGGATGACTCGGTTTGGCCTGAACCGGTTCTAAACTTTAATTTGTCTAAAATATACGAGTGAGTGCACAGCTTAGAGTATATATTATTCTATATACTCTAAGCATGGTTTTGCTGTGTACTCACCCATATTAGCTATTATTAGCCCACAGAAATAAATCAAGTCTCAGATTAATTCTCTTAGGAAATAGATGGTTACACAAAACTAAAACGATTGTATAAGGGTCCTACTACTACTACTACAGCGCATACTCTAAGTCGCGCTGCTTAGACTATGCTGCGCTGCTCTGCTCAGATCATGCGCTCAAATTTTTTCGCTTCTCAAAAGATGTTGATTATATATCAAAAAGGGACCCAATTTTTATACCCCCCAAATTTAATATTTATACCCCCCTGCAGATTTAACTTTTTTTAAAACTTTGAGCGAAGATATCTCAGTA